CAAGGGCTAATCTACAAAGGCCATAAACTGGCAAAGCATAAGAAAACATTTAAAGAGAGAGATTGGGCAGATGTTACCTCAAAGGGCCAAGTCCAATTAAAATAAAAACAAGTCTCATGAGCTCAGGATCCCTAATTTATAGCCACTATAACTTGGGGATTCTAATAGAATCACAACAGAAAGCATGCAGAGGGAGGTGAAGGTACTTCCTACGCACTTTTCCCCTCTGGGCACCTCGTCTGGCATGCCAATCACCAGGTCTTGCTCTGCAATGTCACAGCCATCCCCTGCCAGATCAATGCGAGTAATTCTCTACATTCACAATATCTACAGGGCTTCTCTCCTTCTTCCATGAAATAACTACTGTCAGAATTATCTAGAAAGTCCCTTCAGTTCTATCCTGTCCGCTCATTTTAGTTCACACTGCTCTGGTAGCAACTTCTGATCTAGAAAATTCCACGTGAACCATTAGGACCTTCTTGAGTATTTGGGACCTTGGATTCTTCATGGAAGGCCTTCCAGGTTAGATATCAAAATGTACTAGAAAGAACAAGGGACTTAAGTTAATGGCTGTGTGATATCAGGAAGGTAATTAACCTCTTTGAACCTCCATTTTCACATCTTAAAATACAGAGGAGAATATCTACCTACTCAGGTTGTTGGGAAACTCAAATAACATGACCACGGCTGTACCTGGTTCACAGTAGTTGCCAAATAAATAAGTTAGCTCGTTTGTTTTAACTGTACAATTTTCAAGGTAAACCTTGGATCTCAACCCTTGACCAAAATGTGAATTAACTCAAGTTCACCTCTGATGCCCCATCATCACCTTGTCTCACCTATACTCCCCTCCTCCTTCTTGGCTCCAAAGTGGAATCTTCCCTTGTGAAACAGGGTACCACTCTCTCTCTCTGTTTCCAAACTCCTAACACCATCTCCCATACAAACCCATAAAATATTTTATTCCCAGCTTTCAGCAACTGAGATATTAACTCACACTGACTTGTTAACAAACAATAGTTTCTGTAAGCATCGCTTTTAACAAGCACATAGAGTGGCAACTCTAGGAAACAAACTTTTAATGATGAATGTTAAACATATTAGGGAACTTTCAGAGGGGCTCACACTCTATGTCTCAAATCAATTCTGCATCGGTCTAGCTCTGCAAAAATTAATAATGAAATAAAACAAAGGGAACATTTTTGTAACGTTTAAACACAGACCATTATTGAAATCTCACCCACTGAAATAAATATACATCCACGACCCATTGGATCTGAAAGAAATGAGGTCTCCTCATTGAGAAACAAGATACTCTAAACAAAGCCCTTGAGAAATAAGCCAATTAAACTAGCTTATTTCTAATGCCTTTTTTCTTTACACCATTAATGGTTCTGGCTGTTAGAAGCATCAATAAAATACAGAAAGGACAACGGTTGGGGTTGGAAAAACCAAAGCCAACTATGTGAACTGGCCAAGAATTGTTTCCCTAATCTGCAACATTCTAGAGAAAACGCTCTGCACAGCACCCTTGGTCGAATTCTAGAGCTCAAGCCTGCAACCAGAGAAGGCGGGGCAGCCAGGTTCCATGGAGGAGCTCTGCAAGGTTTCTCAGTCGCCCTAGGAAGCTCACCAGGCACTAAATTTAAAATGTGGCTAAGTTGGTTTTCGCAAGCTCCATTTCCCCTACTGACCCACTTGCCTCTTCATGTTGTCAATAATAGCGCCTTCCATCCCGAGAACAATTTACCAGAGCGCAGCACTGTGACATTTGGAGCATGTAGGCCAATGAAATGTCAAGACCGCAACACGCGGTGGTCAAGATTACCCTTTGGTCAAAAAGAGCAGTCTCCGAGGCCTGATCAGTGAGCACCCTTCGGTGGGTGGGTGGCAGGGGATGGGGGCAATCTGGACCGTCAGTGTCCTGGACTGCTTTGATCCTTTGCACGGGTCATGTGAATTTGCACGTCTCGTCCGGGCAACAAGCCCAGATCTCCGCCCCAGCAGAGATGCCCAGAGACTCCAGCCCAGAGCTTTTTCCATGCGGGTCCCCGCAACAGACGTGCCACTGAGCCGACGCGCGAGCCCTCTGCCTTGTAAGGCGCATCGCAGTAATTGAAACCTTGCCTGCCGCAAGATTGCAGTGGCATCTATAAATACTCACCGCCTTACTGCTGACGAAAAACGCGGGC